GCCTCTCATTACAAGTTGGTTGGGTACAATGTAAACACACTTCTGCCTTGCTTAATCACAGAGTACCGGCCCGTTTAGGTTTCAAAGGCGGCGGTAAATTGGGCGTAGCTGAGTGGAGGCTAAAAATTAACCAGCCATCTCTGTTTCAATTTGTAAGAAAACAAAAGTGGAAAGAAATTATGAAAAGAAAAAGAGAAATGGGGGTGTGGGGGGAGACAAGGCCACAGCGCTAAACTAGCCCAGGCCCACACAGGGCAGCGCTGGAAGAGCAGAGGAGACTAGGGAACACTCAGGGCACAAAGGGGGAAGGGTTTTCACAGGTTTTCTCTAAGACTTCCTCTAAGCAAGCTGTTTCCTGGAAGGCCTGATCCCCACAAAGGCCCTCTGCTCCAGAGGGACCCAGGGCCACGGGCACCACAGTGTGGGTGCATCCTGGAGCAGGGAGCTCAAGGAATCTCACTGTGTACTCTCTCTAAAAAACAAATCCCAGCCATTCGGTCCCATCCCCAGGTGCACATGGCCCTCTCTCCTGGACTCGCTGGCAGCCCCCCCCACACACACACACCAAACTCAGCTTCTCCTGGGATGAAGCCTGCACCTTCTCCCTCCCTCGTCCTAGCTCTCCGGTCTCATCTTCTACATCAGCAGCGTGAGTGTCGATGATGATCGCCCCTCTCAAACTCTTACCATCGTGGGTGATTATGAGACATCTTGGCCCTGTCCTAAAACTGGCAGCATCTTCACTACAGGGGAGACAGAGATGCCCAAACTGTCACAGCGAGAGGGGAGAGGAGAGAGGGCAAAGGGGTGGGGCAGACAGGAAGAAGATGGACCAGAGAGAGGACTGCACACGTGCAGCCGCACCGGGAGGCCAGCGGGACAATCGACCAGTGAGGCCCCAAAGCAGCACCGCTCAGAAACAGGAAGAACAATAAAGACAACACCAGCAAGTGAAATAAAACTGGGGAGGGAGTGTTGAAAACAACCTACCCGGAGTGTGGACAAAGTAAGCCAGATAAAGGTCCAGTTCTTTGATTGTGACTCCAATGTGATGTGGCTGGACGCACAGGCCGGGGTTCGAGCACTGGGGCGACTTGTAGAGCCGCTCCCCATCAGTACTTTCCAAGGGGATCCCCTTAAACAAAATCACCATGACCAGGTCCAGCCGCCACACCTTGTCGGCCTGGCGCAGGCAGTCGATGCGCCGGATCTTGCCCTTCTGGTCGGGGTTGGACAGCACGCAGCCGGGGGGCTTCTTGCCGGTGATGGTCAGCACGAAGTCTTCTCGGCACTCGGGCCGGATGTCTTTGCGCAGCTTGGCCAGCAGCCGGGATGCCCACTTCTGCTTGATCTCGGGCTTCTCGCCCAGCAGCTCGTCCTTCACCGCGCGCTCCTCGTCCTTTGACATCCGCTTCTCGTGCTTCTTGAAGTACTTGCGCTTCCGCGCCTGCAGGTTGAACCAGGTGTAGGAGAAGGCTCGGACGTGAGGCAGCAGCGCCTCGATGAACGGGTGGAACTCATCCTGCAGGCGGCAAGCCGGGAGCATGCGGGGCGAGGGAGGACGGGAGGAGGGGGAAAGAGAGAAGGAGAAACGCAGCGTTAGAAGGGGGCACTAGGAAAACCGCCTTCTCCTCCTTCTCCCTCCCCCCAGCAATTTTCTCTTGAGATTGTTCTACTGAAGTGTGGTCTGAAGCCACCAACAGCTTCGCCAGCCACTTGCTCCCATCTCAGCCTCAGCAACCAAACAGAGGCACGGGAGCCTGTCCATACACCTATTCTCTCTCTCTCTCTCTCTCTCTCTCTCTCTCTCTCTCTCTCTCTCTCTCTC